TGATTGGAATACTCTTTCAGATGACTCCAAGGCAACTAGCGGCTACATATTAGCACATTTGGTGGATCTGTTTCTTGGAAGTCTAAGAAACAGACTATCTTGGCTCAATCTACCATGGAGTCTGAGATGATTGCACTAGCATCAGCTAGTGAGGAAGCAGGATGGTTAAGAAGTCTGCTATCTGATATTCCGTTATGGGAGAGACCGATTCCAGCTATCTTGATCCATTGCGATAGTACTGCAGCTATTGCGAAAATTCAGAACCGTTATTATAATGGAAAAAGGCGACAAATACGTCGTAAGCATAGTACTATTAGAGAATATCTCTCCACTGGAGCTGTGAGAGTGGATTATATACGTACTGATGATAACATGGCTGACCCTTTGACGAAAGGATTAGCTAGAGAAAAGGTTTGCAAAACCTCAAAAGGAATGGGACTTATGCCCGTAGATTGATGAGTCACTTGTGATGGAAACCCAACCTATGGACTGGAGATCCTAAGAAATAGGTTCAATGGGTAATAACAAGTCATGAAGTGATATGAATTGGATCATGCTAATATAACAATATTTGTTATATTCCGAATATCTTACTTTGAAGCATGAAATCCTGAAGCGATGGAAGGTTGAGTTATTTCTAAACTCTTAATGGGTTCTATATCTCTGTGTGGAGTGGAGTATTTAGCTATAGGAATACTCTTGATAGACTCACCTAAGTGAATGTGGAAGTGTGGCCGCTTCCTATGGAATTTTGGGCAAATTCTCTAGAGCATTCACTAGACTGGGATATACGTGCATGGCCGTAAAGCACAGGCTTTTGGACTTCACCCTGATAGGGTTGTGTGTGTGATGTTGTTAGAGATAGAGTTCAAAACTACGAGTTACTCTAGTATAATCTAAATCATCTTCACTATGTAAGGGTTCAAGTCGATAGACACCTTTGCTTATGCATGATCCTATATAATATTGCTCGATGGAAATGTTAAAAATTCAAGTGGGGGATTGTTGGAGCAGTGTGAATTTTTTTTTTTAATTAAAAATAAAAGTGGTTATATCTAAAGAGATTATCTATTAACAAATAAAGTTGCTATTTTGAACGAAAAAAAAGGGGAAGACTTAGTCTCTGAACAAGAATGACTTGGTCCATGATTTCCTCCACGATCCTCTCCACTCTCTCATGGTTTGTTCCTAACTTTCCTCATCGTCATTGTATACAATTTTCTTTAAATAGAGGCAGAGAGGATAGATTGAGATATAAAGTTTTTAGATGCTCTCTCTGGTAATCAAAAGAAAAAACTTTCTTCTTGCTTTCTGTTTTCCGAGCAATATTTGGGTGTTTGTATTCCGGCTTTCTTCAGTGCAGAGGAGGTCCGAGACAGAGGTGATTCTGGGCTGTTTTATCCTGGGGACGACGAGGCTGGTATACTGCTTGTACTACCTTGGGCAGAGCCGCGAAACGTCTTAAAAAAAGCGACTTAGTCCGCGACTCAACCCAAGATTTTGTTTGGTAAATTCGTTCCTTTTGTGTTCTGCACTAACAGAGCCCGAGTTCAAAACATCACTCACATCAATGGCTGCCGTTCTCTCCCTCCACACCCTCTTTCTCCTCCCATCAAACCGTTCCTCCCAAGCTATTTCCACAAAGCCCCGGGCTGTCCTCAGCCAAGCCAACAAAATGCGAGTCCCCTATGTGCTGAGGCAGGGGCAGTCCCGTCTTTTCCACAAGCTCCCTTCTGGGCTGAACATGGAGGTCATTGTGCAAAAGGAAGACCCATATGAGAAAAAGAAGAGAAACACTGAAAACCCACCTCTGGTTTTCTTCCATGGAAGCTACCACGCTGCTTGGTGCTGGGCTGAGCACTGGTTGCCGTTCTTTTCAAACTCTGGCTACGATTGCTATGCCGTTAGCTTGTTGGGGCAGGTCTTCCCTCTTTCTCTTTCTCTCTCTAATCTATGTGATTCTGAAATTGTTTACTCTTCATACTCAAAATTGGTTGTTGTTTGCTTTTTATTTTTAAGGTAGCTTTTATTTCCAATCAGGGTAGTCAAGTTCATTTATTCCCGTATCACGTATTTTCAATGTTGATGCCTCGTCAATTATTATTTGTTATTATTATTATTTTCTTAGGGAGCTTTGGTTTTTACTCTTATTGAATTGATCCTCATTCCATGCGTTGTTTGATCCTAAAGGCGTATAAGGATATAGGCTAAAATTCAGACCAAAAAAAAAGGACATTTATTTGGAGTTCAGATATTTCGTTTGTTTGTTTTTTGGGCTGAATTTGAATAGGAAAAGGGCAGAAATGTGGTCTCATTTATATCCATATCTCCTTCCCTAGGAAAAGGAGACAAATGTGCTCGCACTTATTAAAGCCAGCATACAGTTAGAAGCAATGTTTACCTGTATCGCCATAACACGAGTGTAGTTGTCTGAAAACATTTAGATCACTCTAGTGGGGGAAAACCAACGAAAAGAGTGCGAGCACTTTGACGCTCAAGTCAGCAAAGTGATTGATAATGTGCTAGAAGATGATTAAAAAGTGTGTATGACACAATCAAAGCAAGTATTCATAGAAGAAAGAAGACAAAAGATTATAATGGTCCTATGATTATCTGTCGGTGTAATCATAGGCCTTTACCTCGTGGTAGTCATTATCTTGAATGATTTGAACTTGTGTTGATGAGGTTAATCTAACTCCAGGAATAAGGGAAAATTTTCTTGGAGTATATGAGTTCCTTGCTGGGAAGTCAGAGCCCGACCATGATATAACAAGGTCAGTTATGAAGTCCGAGCCTAGCGTTGTAGGCACCTTCCTCTTGGATCCGAGTCTTAGAAATGCAAATATGTTAAGTTCTTTATTGCTGCTCAGCTATCAGGATAGCACGTTGATCTATAAATCAAATAAGTAAAATCTCAATCTCGATAAGACCTATACTACTTGTGGGCACCCAGACTTGTGGGGATAAATGTGAACTAACAAAAAGGGAGTCCAACACCTTACGGCACGAGCTGACGACAGCCATGCACCACCTGTGTCCGCGTTCCCGAAGGCACCCCTCTCTTTCAAGAGGATTCGCGTTAATCTTTGGGCCTCGTTTAGTTCGCAGATTTGAATTTTTAATTTGAGTTAAGATGTAATTTTATATGAGAGCTTTTTACTGTAACAGAAAAGTTAGACGTGACTTTTTATAAAAACTTTTAATTATAACAAAACTGGAATTGAAAACTCAATTTGGTGAAATGAACAACACCTTAATCTCTGGAAAATTGGATTTTCTGCTAGTATAGATTATTGTGGATGACGATGAAGCTTACCTTGAATTTTTCGTGTTTATACTATGTTGATGAGAGAAGGTAGTCTACTTACATTCGAGTTGATTAAGAACATGTAGAATTGAATTTGGTCCTCATGGAGCAAGTAAAATTAAGAGATAAAGTCATTTTAATACCTTTTAGTATAACGAAACATCTCGTGGGTATTTTAACTTTTTAATAAATTAAAACGGTACCTTCAAGTTTTAGAAAATGATTTTTTTGTACCTAAACTCAATTTTGGGTACCTAAAATGTCTCTTGCCACTATTTTTTATTAAATAGGTTGAAATAACATTATAATTTAAGAAAGAAATGAGAGTAAAACCTTGCTAATGAAAAAATTCGTACAAACAATGTATGATTACTCTTTATTGCATTTATGTTTTTGATAATATTCTACAAAATTCTTCATACATTAAATAATTTTTTTGTTAAAGAAATAAAAGTGATTATAATAATAAAAAATATTATTCATTTTAAGAATGATTTAAATTATATCTAATAAGTTAATTATAAGTAACAAAGAAGACATTGTTCATTTTAAAGCGTGGGTATGGTTATCTTCTTTTTTAAAACAAAACAAAAAACAAAAAAAAAACAAAAAACAAATGCTTTTTAATTATAGTTAATGTACATGTGTGCTTTTTTATTTCTTTCAATGGAATGCAATCTCTATTTATAGTTAATGTATAGTTATGTTAATGAGTTCTAATATAATTTTAATGCGGAGTAAAATTGTAATAAACAAAAAATAATAATTTAGTGGAGATATTAATAAATTTCATGGGGGCAAATATAATGACTCTTATGCGAATGTTGTTTTACAAATATTCGGACTATAGAACTAGAAAAACAATTCACTGTTTGGTGCGTCATCAAATAATTATAAAATTACGAAAATTGATTTAAAATAACATAATAAAAATTATTTTGTTTCCAAAGTGCTGTTTTACATGTCCATTATGCTCATAATAAGCTTGTTTACGCAACAAAATTACCTACTAATTTTATATTAATTCAAAATTATGCTTAAGCAAATAAGATGAATCTAACTAATTCTCACTTGATCTTTGCTCGACAATTTTTTGTTCACCGCCGTACTTCATCCGTCTTCACTGATAGATACCGCCATACTTCATTCGTTTTCACTGATACATTCAGTCAACATTCAAGATCAAATCCTTTATAATTAGTAGTCATTTGCTATTAATCTTTAAAATATGTAACAAGTTAAATTTGAAATGAAATTTTCTCTTATAAAAAAAGGTCATAATAAATTTCACTGGAGGTGCCTTATCTATAGATTTCAAGGAACTTTCCAAAGGCTATTCAATAAACAACTTCAAGGCCTTATTTATGGGTTGTTTAGTTGGGGGATTCATCCCCTGATTCGAATCATAATCTGTGGTTCACTACAGTATTTTCTCTCATAAAAAACACACATAAATTGAAAATGATTCTAATCACATGGTTCTAATCCATGAACCAAACGTCCTACTTAATCAGCCACGTCAAAAGTCTAATTTTATAATCTTACCCCATACAAACTCATATTGCATGCTATCATCATTTTTCTTAATAGCTTGAATGAAGATTTGTTTCTCCTCTCTTTAGTACTTTATCATTTTGTCAAATGACTTTGTTAGTTTATAAGAGCTTCTAAAGATGCACCATATTCACATATATGGACGTTTGGTCCATGTTAAAACGATCAAAGTAGACAAGTAGGAATCATCGTATGAGTAAAACAATAATAGAAGGTATGAGAAATTGAAAGTGTGACAAAAAAAGTTGGTATATACGATATGAAAAATTAAAGGTGTGTTTAGAACTCGTTCTAAAATGATTTTATTTTTTATATGAAAATGAAAATATTTTCAATCTCAAATAGAAATCATTTTTAAAAATACGTTTGGTAGTTTTATCAAGAGATTGTTTTCAGTATAAACAATCTATTAATGTCTCTCTCTCTCTCTGTGCTCGAGAGAGGAGAAAACATAAATAAAAAATAAAAAATGACTAAAAGTCATTTTTCATTTCTTTCTCATTTTACACTAAACCAAAAAATCGTTTTCATTTCCGTTTTTTGTTTTTAATTGTGCCAAACGTCGTTTTTCTCCCGTTTTCATTTTTTCTCAAAAAACGTGAAAAACAAAAACAAAACCAACTCCAAACATGGCCTAAATTACGCTTTTTGCTTCTTTTTTTTTTTGGAGAAAAAAGAATTGCGTCTTAGTCGACACAATATTCAAATAATTGTTGTTGTGCTACCTAATTTCTAAAATTCTCTGGCCTTCTTGTTTGGAAAGGGAATCCGTGAGCACCTCCTTTATTTAAATTGTTTTAGTTGAATCAAAAGTATTTTTTATTTAAAAATGATATGAAAACTTAGGAATGAACCAGAATCACCGTTGTTATATGAGGCATATACATTCAGAATATTTTCATTTTTCTTTATTAAATTAAATTAATCCAGGAGCGATCTGTATCGAATTTTATATAATAAAAAAGTAAAGCAAATATAATAAGAAAGAAGTCATACTCTAATTTTATTTAGGCAGAGGCAAATACTATATATAACCTATGCATATGATAATACATTTGTAAGGTCTCGTGTATAGTGTGACGTGACTCATTATAGTTTGTTAATTAAAATCATGAGCTGGACAGATAGGTAGGAAGGAATAGGATTACTTTGGGAATTCAAAGGGTGGCTCTGGCTGATGGCGATTGTGTGTGGACCCACCTCATGTGAATCAACTAATGTACAGTTTTATTATAAGGATTTAAATTTAAATGTGATTTTATGTAAAAAAAAAAAATTTATTATAATAAAAAAAATTAGATGTGATTATTTTTAAGAATTTTTTACTGTAACAAAATTAGAATTCTAAACTCAAATCAATATAATGAAGGGGCCTTAAAAACTCTCACAAAAAGTCATATCTAACTTCTTTTGTTACAATGAAAAACTCTCACATCAAATCAAATCTCAACTTAAATTGAAAACTCAAATCCGTTAATTAAACGAGGCCTCTTCTTCTTTTTATTTTTGTTTTTGTTTTTTTTTTTTTTTTGGTTGAGAATCTAGTAAAAAGAAAATATGAGGTATTAATTATTAGGAGATTTTCTAGTATGCTTAACGTATCGATAGAATTTCAACTAAAATTATATTCAAATACACTTTAATTCAAATTAAGATATGAATTCAAGTCACCATCACTCAAAAAATGTAAAAGAACAAGTCCTAAGGTGGCCTTTCCAAATCATACTAAAATAATATAATAATAAATGTGTGTTTTTTTATCGGGCTCGTTTAGTACTATAGTAAAATAGTTAGATATGACTGTTTTTGAGAATTTTTTACTGTAACAAAACTCAAATTTTAAATTTAAATTGATGAAATGAGCGGGGCTTAAATTTACCTAAACTAATAAGTAGTTCCTTTTAAGTCAAAGTAAAGAAGAAAAAAAAATTGTTTATAAATATGTGTGTTTTCTTTAATCAAGAATTCAATTTCGGAAAAGAAAAGTTTTTTTGAAATGAATTTCCTATTATTCCGATTCTTGATTAGTAAACACTCTTTTCAAGTCCAGCCAAAATGCAATATTGATCCCAAATCATACGTATAAGCAGAAACGACCCAAGATCTTTCAGAAACAACCAAAAAAAAAAAAAAGCAACGAAAGGCTTTCCCGTTCACCGCGCAATCACTCTCTCAATCTTCTCTCCTCTCGGTCTCTCGCTGACAGGTATCTTTTTATGTTGTTTATATTTTTTGAAGCTTTTCCTTTGGCTCTGCAGTTCTTAGTTTACTGTTTATAGAAATTGGAATCCACTTTGCGTTGAAGATGATTGTTTCAGAATTATTGACTTTGTTTCTGTTGGAATCTACAAAGTGTATTTCAAATGAATAGATTTTCTGTGCAATCTCTTTATGGAAAAGAAAAAAGATAAAACAAACAAACCACCATCGGCGATATTGAATTTCATGCAGAAGAAAGTGAAGCACACTCTGGTTAGAGATTCATAATTAATCACGTTTCGGTTATATGTAATCAATCATATTACATAAAGTGCTTTCATTCTAATAATCTCATTATTAACAATTTAAAATAAGATTATTTCATTCAGAATGTAATAAACCGTACTAATAATTTTAAATTAAACATCCTAACTTTAATTTATAATTACAGACAAGTTTAGATTATTTTATTTTAAATATTATTTTCTGCATATAACACTTATATATAATGTTTAAAGTTACATCTAAAATAATCTAAAAATTTTTAATATTTATAAAATGTCATATGCATGCAAATAATATTGAAAAAATTTCTCATTTCATTAATAATGAGCAAAAATATTTAATCTTTTTTTATTTATAGGCGCATACCCAACACCGTACCCTTCGGCGATATTGAATTTCATGCCGAAGAAAGTTTTTTTATTTCCATTCCATCTATGTGA